ATATATATGTATGTATGTATGTGTGTATGTATGTGTATATGTATATGTATATGTATATGTATATGTATATGTATATATGTACGTGTCTATATATCTATATACATATATAGGTAGGTATGTAGGTAGATAGATAGATAGATAGATAAAAGCTGTCCAATTTGTATCTGAAAAAATAAGCGTCAAACTCATATGAACCTTCCACGTACTTTTATTTTGCAGTGAAGTCACAAAAACGATCCAGACAGACGACGCTGAAGAGAAGGAGAGAATGGCGCATGAATTGGCAGTGGTGAAGGCAGAACTGGAGGAGGCCAAGAATTTACAGGTATTTGCGGAGTAACAGAATAACACCGGAATGTGTTGAGCAACACGTCATGTTATTAGGATTTTAGGGTTTGTAAGGTTTAGTTGGAGTTTAGTTGAAAAGAGTCCTGAAGTATTGTTTCTGTTCTCTGTGTTGCAGTGAAGTTCTTGACCTGCAGATAGTTATGAATATGCAGGTGTCGACTGATTTCTACCTACTGACATATACCCTGGGTAGCCGTTTAGGGCGCGCCTATCAAGGCAGTGCCTAGAGCTTCTGACCACGCATCTCAGATTGTATTTAATACTATGGCTCATCCCTTTTTTTATCCCACGCCAACTCATATGATTCTATGCATTATAAATGTACTTGTATATACATAAGAACCGACTCAAACTATAAAAACCATATATATAAACCAAACTTTCAGTTCTATTATGAACCATTAAACTTTAACGAATAACCCTATATCAACTAAACTATAAATACGAACCAGCTCAAATTATGAAAACTGCCCTATATAAAGTAGCCAACCCACATTATATAAACTATCAAACTCACACACTATCAGGCGGAGAAGCAGGCCACCATCGCCGACCTGCAGGCGGCTGCCGCGGCACTTGTTGCCAGTCACAAGGTTGAACTGGAGAATGTCGCAGCGCAGAATTCACAGATCGCAGAGAAGAACGAAGAGCTCAACGCCCGTACTGTAGCGGTATGTTGATGAGTTTAGGAGTGTTTGTTCGTGAATATGTTTAAGGGTTTATGGTTGTTCGTAGGTATGTTTAAGTGGTTAGGGGTGTTTGCTTGTAGGTATGTTTAAGGGTTTAAAAGTGTTTGTTCGTAGGAATTTTTAGGGGTTTAGGGGTGTTTGTTCGTAGGTCTGTTTAAGGATTTAAGGATGTTTGTTCATAGGTCTTTTTAGGGTTTAGGGTTGTTTGCTCGTAGGTTTGTTTCAGAGTGTAGGGTTGTTTGTTCGTAGATATGCCCAAGGGTTTAGAGATGCTATATATATATATATATATATATAGATGTGTGTGTGTGTGTGTGTGTG